GTGGGATTGCTTATGAAAGATGCATTTCCCAGGCAATTTCATTATTGCTTTTAAAATTGTATTCCTAACCTTGCCTACATTTTATCAGCAAAATACTGGTAAAAACAGTGGAAAATACACAAACACACATGTGTAAATTGTCTTCATGTAAATTCAGTTGGATTGCAGAGGAAAACAAATGAAAAAAATGAGTGAAGAAGCTCCACCAGAAGCAGCTTGAAAGCTGCCTGGAGACCGAACGCTTTCATGGCAAGCTCTTGTTTTTCCCAATCTGCTCCGGTTGACTCCACCTCTGTAGCACCACACAGCCTGCTTTTGAGCAAAGCTGCTATCATGAATACACAGAGGATGTTTTTGGGCTGACATGTTACCTGAGTATCAGGAGATCTGGTTTTTGTTCTTGACAGTCATATAGCCTGCTTCTGTATCAATTCTGCCTAGGAAATTTCCTTGCCTTGGAGGAAAAAATAAATTAGGATGGCTAAATATACATGAGCAACTAAGGCAACCTGCTGAAAAGAAAATACAGTGAAAGAAGCCCATGCCCTCTCTTGAGCACTCTGATCTAAGGATTACTAGATATGCTGAAATGTTGCTGATTTGTTGCTAAAGAACTAATAAACATATTTCTGCAATTACCCCGTTTTGTATCCCTTAACTATTTGTGTATATACATTATTTTCTAAGCTAGCATAACTTTATTCTGAAGTTCATGGAGTTCACAGGAACTTAAGACTGCCAAGAGTGCAGTGCAGCAGCTGCCTAGAATAAAACCCACAAATAATAGTAGTAGTAGTAGTAGTAGTAGTAGTAGTAGTAGTAGTAGTAGTAGTAGTAGTAGTAATGATGATATGTTTCAAGATTATAGCCTGCAAGTACCCTGAGAAGTGTTTGACAGGTAGTTGCAATAGGTAATTTGGCAGGTTGCCAACTCGGACTTGTAAACCGGATCATATATATGCAAAAATAGACATGTTTTCTGCTGATTATTTTCCTGTAGTTATAGTACTGGAGAACTGCATGAACGTTTTTTCCCTGTGGGATATATGAGCAGTAGGATGAGTTGGCAGGTCTTTTAGATCTCAGTACTTCACATTTTGAGTTGAGATTTAATCAACTCGAGTGCAAAGAAAAGGACTAAAAAATAAGAAAAGTACTGCTGCGATTAGCTGACACCATTCCCCACTTCTGTGACATACTGAAACAAATGGTTAAAAAGAAGGCAATAATAGTGAGGGGAGAAGAAAATAAAATGGAAAAATAAAGGATCATAAAGCTTTTGAAAAAGAAAATCCACAAATACTTGTATTTTATATATGTTGCCTCACGTGTGGATTATTCTAACAATGTCTGGGAAATGGTGGGGTGAGTTGCGTACATTTTGTAGCATTGTCACAAGTCAGTGCTAACTCAGTGGGTTTAATTTAAATGTCTTTAGTAATTATTACTTATGATATTACAATAGAATCTTTGCAGATAAAACCTGTAATTTTTGTGAAAGTGATGTAGAATTGTGGTTATGAAGTTCAGAAGTTCTGGAGGAAATGTAAGTGATGCCTCTCAGCTGCAGTGTAACATAGGTCTTGCTAGTCTTAAAAACAGGTTTTAAAATTATACTGGGATTGAAAGTGCAGAAGAACTCTCCCTGATTGTTGTGGTTTGTTCTTGCTTTTCTTATCTTCCTCCCTTACTGCATTTTTTTCCTTTTCTTCCAATTTCGGATCTCATGTTTCCCTTTTTTTAGGATCTTAGCCTAGTTCCAGCTGCCTCCACAAAGGTCACTTTTGCCATTTTTGATGCATGAGGCAGAGCTGGAACGAGTGACCATGGAATTCTGATAGTAGTAGTTGTTCCATCACACTTTCCTTTTACTTCTCTTTCTTTGCAAATGATACTGTCCCATTTTCCTCTCTGAAACTGCTAATGGCCAATATTTGACTACATCTTCAGGAAGTATAAATTAACACAGAACTGCTTTTGTAGCTTTATTAGCAACAACAGCAAAAAAAAATTAATCTTTTAGAAAATAATGCATATTTAGAAGATAACCTTATGCTGTTTCAGCTGAAGTTTTTTTTGGTTGGTTAGACAAAGATCACATTGCCTAGCTTGAGTTATAGGTTATCAGTGAATATATGTGTGACGTTCAGAGAATAAATAGGTAAAAGTAAAGTATCTCCTCCTTGCTGTATCCATGTATTTCAATTCAAGAGTAATCACAATATTGTTTCACTAAGTGAATAGCAAATTGTTAGCTTGTGTAGGAGTAAAGCTTGGTTGCAGATTTTTTTTGCGTGTTCCTGCTTTTCTAAAGTAGAAAAAGGTTGATGGTAAACTTGCGTATGATCTGTTTCTTACCTTAATTGCAATGTTTTGATACTGTGGTTAAACAGATATTTAAAAGAACTTGCAGGAGTAAGATATGGGCTTGTAGTCTAGGTATGGAATGAAGAGATGTTCTCCAGCTGTGGGTGGTATACTATGAAGAATACGAATTTATTTCTAATTGCATAGTTAGCGACTCTTTTTATAGTTCTCAAGTGCTTTAAGCTCTTTTAGTTGAAATGAAATGGGTATGAAAAAGCAATAACTGTAAATGGTAAAGGCCCCCAGTAATAAGCATTCAGCTTATCATTCTACCTAAGGGATGTTTGAAGAGGGTGGGCACAGTTATCCTCGGCACTTGCTAAAGATAAAGCACAAAGCAGCAGAGTGTCTTAAAAAATCTAAGGGGAAATAAACTGCTCGCTATTAAAGAAAGCGACATGTAGGTTTTGCTCTTGGGATCATTCAGAAGTAGTCTCAGCCCTCATCTCTAGGCATGGCTGCAGGAAGTTGAAATCAGCTTGATGACCTTTTCTAGGTTTCTTTAAATCCTAGACGTCAGGCGTGCTCTGGGCTATGCTGGCATGGATCTTTGCATTGCCCTGAGTTCATGCTTGAATTATGTTTAGTTGGATGTCATTCATGTATGCAAAAAGTATATTGTGGAATTGTTTTTTTACCTAAGCATTACGTTTGCTCTCCTCCAGTTTTTCTGGGTTTTATGGTTTAGCAAACTGCCAAGATACGAAGATGTAGCATCAAAAATCAACTGTCTGCTATGTGATTAAGCCATTTAGCAATTCTTTCAGACTCTGGATTTGTAGGGAATTGTGTGTTGAGGAGAGAATTTAAGGGAGAGGCCACCTGCCCTTATACATAGACTGGATGCCTGGGAAGTTTTCCACTTGCTTTACTGTCTTTTCTAGATTCAGAAATACTGTATTTTTTTATATATACTCTTGGTTTGTCAGAAATAAGCATATTTCTTTAGCTTCCTTCAAGATTGTGTGGACGAGTTTCATTTCAAGGATGTAGCAGTGTTTCTCTGTTATTCACTGGTTTCTTGGTTGCAGTAAATCAACCTCTACAACATTTCAGAACCCAGAATACTTCTTCCCTTAGTAGTGTGGCTTCTCGAACTGTATCCTCTTTAAGCTGAATGTTTAAACTTATAGTAAACTCTTCCTATTACCAATGAAATAATTATGTCTGCTTAAAAGCACTTTTTTTCCCCTTCAATATAAATGTTTCAGTCTCTTCCTGCTATTTTTGCAAAATGATTCATAAGAAACCATGCAGAACATAGATGTATCCGGATTGAAAATGTTACACGCCCTCCCACATATAACAATGAAATGTGTGTTTTGCTACTAAGATTGCAAATACTTCATTGATGTCTGCATATAATTAAATGTGCTAGGTTTTCTTTCCGGCTGTACTTACTGGCAAATGTTTCCTGAATGCCAACAGCTGTTATTAGGAAAATACTCCCTGATTAACCTGCTGCTTCTGCATAGGTTGCTTTATGTAAAGCTTAAGAACACATTAGCTTTTTTTGCCTGACTAACACTAGAAGTGTTTCATGGATTAAAACTCCTTTTTTTTTTTTTTTTTTTTTTTTTAAACAGTTGCATGTAACAAAGCTGTTTTTCTACCAGGGTAAACTGATTTAAAAATGAGACTTAAAAGATGAAAACTTAGTCACATTTTTCATGTGGGTTATTAGGTAGGATATAAAGCATCTGTTCAAACAGAGCTTGTACTAATTACCATAAAGCTACAGCATCTGATGAACTTGGAAAAGAGTGGTTCTTTCATCAATGTTGTATTTCATGTGCTCTCTGCCTTACTAATTCCATTTCTCTTTATCCACTGAGATTTTGGCCTGTTAGAAAAACTTTCACAGCCCCCCCCACCCCAGCTTAGTCTCTTAGTCTTGCTTATAGAATCTGCCTCACATGCTACATAAGGTGACAGACAGCAATGTGCTTGCTGTCCCCAGCAGGCTGCATCTAATAAGATGGTCCAACTCAAGGTTCCTGTCTGTTTTGTATTTGGCATTTATCTTCCCCCTCATTGCATGGAGTGTTATAAACACCCAGTGGTTCCCTTTTCTCTTCTTCCTCCTCCCAGGGTTTTCCTTCTCATCTTTGGCAGGGTGTGCAAACGTGTCAGTTCAGCTCAGCAAAGTTTTCTTTTGTAATTACTTAAGGCTATTGCTGGTACCTCTGTTTTTCAGTGTTACCACTAGAAACAGGTCATTTTTGTCCATGGTCATGAACTGCTGGTTGAAGCCACTTGTCTGGCATACATGTCACTAGCTGGTATGTGCCAAAGGGATGTAAAGTGGAGGAAGATCATTATCTCAAGGAAGGAAGCAACAAGAACTAGTGAATAGATATAAACATTTACCAGTATTTTCTTTCTGTGCTGGCTTCACACTTTGGTTACATGAATCTTTCCATTCTGTTTGAGACTTTGAAAACTTTTGTTTCATCCTAATGACTTTTCAATTCAATTTTCAATTTGAATTTCAATTTCAATTGAATTTCAAATTCAATTTCAATTGAACTTCAATTCAATTCAATTTTCAGTTTAATTCTTTTTAAGGATAAATCTAGGAAGGGTGAATGACTGGATCAATTTAACCTGCCTTTTCTGCTTTACTTTCTCAGGATTGCACAGTATATGAAACAGAGAACAAAATTCTTCATGTGGTGAGTAGTGTTTGGATTTCTATTAATAAATATATTTGTATGGAATACATAGAATCATAGACCTGTGTGTTTTGAGCTTTTTCTATGCAGCGCCAGTGTGATACTGAACTAGTCTGGATATGGCTGAGCGAATGCATGGAACTACTTGTGAATAGGTAATGATGTTCTGGAAGCTGAACTTGGCATATGAGAAGCCAGGAACTTTGCAAGGGCTTGTGTTTGTCTGGCTCAGGCCCATCTGTTATTTGTAAACCATGGTCATAAGAATGATTTTGAAAAATGGTAGGTTTTTTCCTGAGAGCAAGCTGGTTGCTAGGCTTCTATGAAATCATATATATTTATGTTGGTGATACAGCTTCATTTATACAACTTTATTCCTCATAGGAGCATGGAAGCAGTCTAGTGATAGGAAAATTAATGCAATTCTTTCCTTTTGAATGCTCAGCATAAATACAGCAGCCGGTTCCCAGAATCTGTAGTGCTATTGATAATGAATAAAGCAGATGAAAGTCATCAGGGCATCAGAACACAGGATTGGTTTGAAAGGCTGGTACTTTGGTAGATGGAGAGTCAAAAGCTTGATTAAACTTTGTCTGAAAACTGAACCTCAGGTTTAGATATTAGATTTCATCTCATGTTGTGGCTGTAGTTTAGTGACTATGAAGTTAACCCAGAGCTCGTTTCTAAAACTTAGATATGAAGATATTCCTCCTAAGAGTGAATAATTAATTGGTTTAATTTATTCACTGTATTTCACATTTAGGTAGGTTTTGGTATCTCACTTTTCTTAGTACTGGAGCTTAAGCAAGAAAATACTGCCTTTCTTTATTTTAAAAGGTGAGCTTCCCACTATTTTGCTGTACGTTATTTTTCAGTGCTCCCATATCAAATGCTTGGCAAGCTGAATTCTGTAAGCTTTTGATGCTTTGATTTCACAGTGATGTGGAATAAAATGTCTCCTTGTATTTTTAAGTTTCACTGACATTTTTCCTGTGGGACACAAAGAATTAGCAATTTTAGTCAGGCTGACATCATCATCTTTGCTAGGCTGATCTCTGCAAGTATTTAACTAATGAAGTTTTTAATTGCATAATCTTGGCAAAAGTTGAAGTGCTGTAAGTTTGAAATCATATATACCCTGGTTTTCAATACATACTTGCTTTCTGCTGTAAGAGCCAAGAGTTCTGACATTGCTATATACAGTATATATCTTTTACAAATTAGGAAAAAGGATTGTAAAGGGAGCTGGCAGTGTTTAAAGCTGATGAAGCATCAGTCAATATAGTCTTCGACAGAAAATTTTGAGGAAACTGAGAGAGATTTGTTTAAGATATGCATGTGCACAAATTTGAGACAGGTTTCAAAAGTTATCTTACATCATTCAGGTGCACATAGGCTTATTTCTTTAACTCAATAGTAACTTCATTGTAGTGACAGGTGGACATATGTATTATTGTGGAGAGCTTAATTAGCTTCTACGATTAGTACTTAAGCTTGCAAGGAAAGACGAACAGAGCATTGAATGTTTTACTGAAGCCTAGGATTAAGAATTACTATGTGTGTTACATGTAACTTGGATTATTTCTGACCATGTTGCATTTCAGCTGATGGTTGGGATTTCATGGGCCAAAAGCTGACCAAAAGCAATCAAGGAAACAAATAAATCTGTGATTGAATAATTAAAAGATGGGATTTGAAATCATATTTTGAATTTGAAAGGGAGTATTTTACAAGTGTAGGTGAGAAGGTTGATGATAGTATTGGAATTGAAAGAAGTCGCAGTTCTCTCTAACCCCTCCCCTTGGAAGACAGATAAAGGTGGTGTGGCTTTAGCCCATTAGACAATCTGGGGAGGAACAATCTAACAGGTAGATTAAAAAAAGAGGGGGAAACCCTACTGATGTCAAGATCTTGAGAGTGCATTTTTTTTTATGCCAAAGAAGAGAGGACGTTAGATACCTTATGAGATAACAGTATTTGAATGCACGAGTACAAACTAGATTAAAGATGTTCTAGAGAGGTATTAAGAATTTAAATCTCTTGTTACAGACTATGCATCCAGTAAATTTACAGGTGAGTGTTAAAAAGAAGGTTTTCTGATATGAAAAGAATAGTAGTAAATTTTGGTAAAGGCGTGGAAAGAGTCTTGAATGAGAAATGCTGGGAGAACTAGGGAAGACTGGGAGGAGAGGACATATACGAAGATATTATATAGAGAGAAAATAAATTCTGTCTTAAATTCAAAGACCAATCTATTGCAAATGCATTTTCTGAGTATCTGAGTATGCAAATCCATTTCCCATCTGCAAACCATGCAAACTCCTGGAGGTAACAGAAACGGTGTCTAGGCAGCATCACATCCAGCTGTCTTTGAATACTCAGATACCAACATACAGCTGTGTTTGCTGGGATGACTTAGAGAAGGAATTGAATTCAAAACTGTAGGCTCACACCATATGATTTCACGTACCACGTTCTCTTCATGACACAAGGAAACAAGGTTCCTCACAAAAGTGAAAGGCGGCGACTTACAACTAATTAGCAATTCATGCAATTAGCCTAAGGAGATCCTTGTTGCAAGGTATTGTTCCCACTAAGGATTAAAGTCAAATTTTAAGAGATCCTTCTTACGTAAGTAAAAAAGAACTACGGCTATAGAAATGAAAATAAATTAAAGGACAGTTATGTACTCTTTAGGACACCAAGCTATTTGCCACCTTAGGAGCAGATCATTGGATCAAAGTAGTTGATTTTTGTCCACGTTATCTATTGGTGGTCCAGTACAGTACTTCAGGTCGAACCTGTGTTCTGAATTGAACATCTCCACTGTTCACTTGGCTTAAAGTGTTATTTTGGACTCATGTGCCGTAGTTCAGGAGCTGGAGCTCTGTAAGCATATATCTCCTGTGGGGATGCTGGCCTGTTCCCCGTGGAGCAAGCCTACTTTGTGCCAAATCAGGGGGTAAGAGGGTGTGGAGGCACAGGTGGGGGATGTGAGACCACTCCGCTGCTACTGAAGTGCTTACATGGATACCTCCAAAGTTAACCCATCACTGAGTCTTCTTCACCCTCTAAAGAATGGTGGAATAGGGAACATCCCTCACCAAAGGCAAGATCCTCAATTAAATGATGGATTGGTTTGCTGTAATTAGGTAGGGCCAAAAAATAGTTAATTTGCTCATATTCTAATGGCAGTAATTTCTTTTGAAAAGCAAATGAATGCCCTCTTTCTTTCAGAGATGTGGGTGTTCATCTGGAGAGACTGCTCAATAACCTTGTCCATAGATAGTATGTTTTAATGTCAATAAACTTATTCTGATGTTAGCTTTTTAGATATCACTGATAAGTTTAAGAAATGGTATTCAGCAGAGACAGAACTGTATAGCTTCAGCTTATATTCTAGAAAGAAATACTTTTGTTTACTCCAAGCAGTTTGAGTTTCAAATGCTATATAAAAGCATTTTGACTGTTACTCACAATATTAGATTAAGTAGTAAACTAATCTGTGTTATTCAACTAAGCACATAAAATGTATCTAAAGGAAAAGGGCTTATGGAAAACTGATGAAATTTTAAGAAGAAATTACGTACTTCAACTTGTTTATTTCTTCTAAATGGACTTGCAAAGTGATTCTGGGAAAAAATACCTCTTCTGTAATTTTCTGCCCTAGAATTGCAGGAGTGTTGAAACAATTATTTTAAAGACAACTATATTTCTTAAAGTTTGGGTTTTTTTTCTGTGAATCTGTTCACAGAAACACTTGGTTTCTATGGAATAAAAAGCGTAAAATCGCATAGGAATAACGTGTTGGTTTTTGCTCATTAAAATGTTGATGCTTCTGAAATATTCATGAATACGGATAAATGCTTCATATTTCTACCACTTAATTTCTCAGTATGTTGTTTCCAGATTACCTTTTACTCAGTAAGTGATGTAATAAATACATAATTAAATAATAATAATAGTAAACATGTTAGTAATATAAAAAGAAAGTAAATATCACCAGAAGATATTACCAACGGAAGTAGATGGCAATAGAAAATATTAAGAAGAACAGGTTTTAAGAAGCAGTGGGCCTAAATATGAAAGGATAAGCCATAGGTGTGGTGTTTACTTCAAATTTGGAAATCAGTGTGCTTTTGCTAGTTTATATTTAGAATCTTTATATTAGTTTAACTTGAGATGATAAAATACGTGTAAAACTGCTCAGCTTAAAAGGGTATCAGTTCTGCTTATTTGGGGACTTATAAGTTAATCGTTGTGAAAGTCTGAATGGAGCTTTAAAATCTTTGAAGAATAATTCGTTGATTCCATCCAGCTGTTCAAGGCTGTATATGATGGAAATATCTAGTTCAGATTAATCCATGTGAAGCAGTAGTATTAAAGGGAGAGCAAAGCAAGAAGGACTAATTATAGAAAGTAGAAGCCGGGCTCCAGTCAGATTAATAATAAGTTTTAACTGAATTTTCTTTTTAGTTTAATTCTATTAAAAAAAGAGAGAATATGTTCCTAAGGAATTTCACTTTCTTAAAATTGCGATGATTTTCCTGAAAAAAAATATAGTTTTTTTGAGTTGGAAAACTGTAGAAAGTAGCACCGCAGAGAGAAATTAATATTCAGAAGTTTTTGAAAAACAAATGAGCTATTTACGTTAAAAAAGTTACTAAATTGAAAAAAGAAAAGAACAAGTAATGTATCAGATTGTTCGCTTTTTGCTGAAAGCCTTGCAGAAACCACAGTGATGATAATTCACTCCTGCCCACTATGTTTGAATATTTGTTATAGAACTATAATCAACTAAAAATCCATTGTCAAAGGTATCATTTTGATAGACTTATTAAAGGGGAAAAAAAGAAAGTAACTACCTGCTTGCAGATACCTTGCAGATTGGGTCCAGCAAACCTCATTCTAATAGAAGCCTCTTTTTGCATCCAAGATTTAATTCACTGTTTAAACTTCATGTATACACAACGACAAGTCCAGGCCCAGCCAGTTCTAAG